ATAAAAAATATTTAAAAATAAAAAATTCACTTACAAGTAAACGATTTATGTACAAGTAAATAATACAAAAATCCTAATAATCCTGCAACTCGTAATCCTAATATATAATTTAATATGGTGTACCAAACATGCCGTAATTCAAGTCATTATAAACTAGAGATAAAATGAAAAGTAAAATACAATCAATCTAGAAATTCCGTCCAAATCTAAATAAATAAGATGTGACTTCGTAGACTACCTGAATAAGACTTTGTATCTACGTTCTTTTAATATTTGAATGGACAAAAAACAGAAATTTTCTAAAAGAAAAAGTAGATTATAATTTTTTCTTGGATGATCGGATTCGGATGATGACTGGATGCATTAGTGGGGCATTGAATAACCATATTATTGATAGATGACAAAGTCGATACCAAACAATTTATAAAGGGGCCATGGCCGTTCATGTGCTGTGTCCTCTCTTAGCGCCTGACATCTAAATTTCAACAACCCCCCCCCCCCCCCCCCCCCCAACAAAAAACAAAAACAGACACAGAAAACCANAAAAAAAAAAAAACCAAAATAAAAACAAAATCAAATAAAAAATTAGAAGATTCCCGTGTAACACCATAACAAAAAACGAAGTAACATTCTATCTGTTTCTTTTATCTAGCTTCGAGAGGTGCAACATGAACATCAATGCTGACGTGACTTTTTACCTAAGCAAAAATTGTTCGTAAAGCGTTCAAATACGAACAACTTCAAAAATTAGAATGTATGATTAATTAATGAGGTTTTTACTTGTGTTTTGAATGATATTAAGAGTACTACAATTGATTTCCAATGTGTTCTTATTCTTCTATGAACTTTAATTACACTTGTTTTTGGTGTTAAAGTTTGTTGGGCATCTCTAGTCAACATTGTGGAACATGATTTGCGTAAAAGAGTTCATTCACTGTTAGGGCTTTCACGAATGAGAATCCTACAAAATTTCAATTAGCTCAACGTTGTGTACACTTCGTGTATGGTAGGGCGGTCATGAAAGAAAGAGAATTGTCTCGACCTATCTAGATTTCTCAAGCTCGGCAAAGCTTAGAGGCTCCAAAGAGATACGAGCCAATCTTATAACATTATGAATTTATGACGACTTGATTTGTCAAATCACTTAAGTAGATCAAGTTTGATCACGAACCATGCTGCAGGTACACTTTGGTTTACACTCTACCATATGACATGACTTACACAATTGATTTTAAAGACATATTACATCATTGAGGAATATCATTGAGGATGTACACCAAATTGTACATGTAATAGAGTTGAATTTAATATTATCATCTATCTATAAGTCGGATTAGATATTTCGTTGAATAAACTACTTTGCATGTTAAATGGCGACAATGTCACGCACTTCACATTGAATTAGGCAAGAGAAGTCACATAAATCATGATTCAAGGTTGTGGTGTCCTTGTGGCCACAAGAAAATCTTCCAATATCTAGCACATGGACGACAGTGACAGCAACTTGGGTTTTGTACTTTCTCACTTAAAATTGTTGAAATTCACTTTCTTGCTCAGCATTCAGCGTGTGCAATATTGCTAATGGCTTCTGGATTTCTAGTTAAAGATTAGGCATACAAATTAGGTATCCTTTATTGCCTCTATTCAATTTTTTTTGTGATTTATCGAGGGGAAGGAAAAGCAGATGAAAAATGCTTGTTATATATCACCATTTACAAATTCTTTTATAGATTGATAAACAAATCTGCAAGTTGTGTTGTACATATAGCACAACCGAAAGTAGAAATTGTCCATGTATAGAAAGACAAAATAAGGAATTAAAATGCAACAAAATGAAACTATAATAGCAAACTAATCTTATTCTTGATGGTCGATTTCAACTACAACGATGGTTCTAATCCACCAAGCACCTCCAATTGCTAGAGATTGTGATGATAACAGAAGGATATGTAGAAAGTTAAAAATCAATGATTTATTAGAGAGTATATTAGTATAACAATTGATCCATTGGGAAAGAGAGAGAAGTACAAGCCCTAATGTCTTAACCAATATTCTTTTCCAAGAAAAAGGGACCACAAATGGCAACCCTGCTACTTTTCTGGACTTATGAAGTTGAAGTTTGCAGAACCTTAATGAAAAGATAATAAATCAATGCCACCCACCCACACCACCCCACTCCAACTTCCCACTATGTACTCAATTTAATACCTTCCATTCATTGTGAAGTTAAAGCATCAGATTATCATCTTTGGATCAATATGGACTGAATGAATCATACTTGTTTACCCTTTTTGCTACATGCCATCATGTTTGGCTATGCTTAAAAACTAAAATTACTTTCAAGTCTCGAACATGGATAATTCACTTTTTATAACAATGGGTAGAGAAATTAGGAAACAATTTAAAAACTCAGACCAGAATAACTAAGCCAGAATGCATCAGAAGAAAAAGGCAACACAAACATTAAAACGTCTATTAATAATCATCTTTTTCTTCTTTAAAATTAATAAAGACAAGCTTAGGATATCATTCCCATGTCGATATGTAAATACATGAACAAAATCCAGCAGAAAGGTTAATCATAGGGTTATAAGTAATATACACATTCACAATACCACCAGTACATTACAGTAACTATTCACTTGTTCCCAAAGCCCAATCAACGGGATGGAGGGATGTGATGAAGGATGAAATGGAAAAGGTGTTTTTGATCCTACAGACAGTATCATACGAAAACAATAAAAATGTTCAGCACTGTGTTGGAAAAGGTAACCTTCTGCACACTTTAGCAGGTTTACTGGAATAGTTTATATGCTTCCTGTAGATCTGGATGAACGACTCCGGCTACCTAAATTGGACATATCTTTCTTCCAGTCCAAATTCTGAAAGCATTTTAATGGTCTAACCTGTACACGGCAACAACTTCTTGCATGAGAAGGGAGAAAACCATATAAAATGCATTTAGCATTAATGTTGTCATAACCATAGTCATTATCTGCAATACTCTGTATGATATGAATAATTACGAATTAGTGTCAAAGTTACATTTTGATTACACATGCGCCTATTTGCACACTGAAGGGGGAGGGGAGAGGAGGGGGGAAGGAGGGAGAGACCTTCCAACGCCTTTTATGGCTAAAGCTGTTATACATTGCCTCTAGTCTAGGAATTATTTGCTTGAATGTCGGTCTGCCAGCTGGTTTCTCACTCCAACACTCTTCAATCAACCTGTAATAAAGAATAAAGGGGAGTAATGGCTGAAATAGATTATTATGTAAGCTCAAAGCACCTCAGTAAGATCTAAAAAATTTTCTGGTACATTTTAGCAAATTAGCAGCAGAAAGATTTTACAAATATTTTATACTTAAAAAATAAAGATTTTAAATCCGCATATCATAAATTTCAACTGTAATCTGCAAGAGAATATTATGAAGGACTTGTAAGAATTGAGGAAAACAAGTTACTTACTCTTTAAGTCCATGGGCATAAAACTTTGCGGAGGCTCTAAATGGAGGGCGCTCTTTCGCAGCAAATAATTTAGGTACTTCATTTTCTGGCTTTGCATAGAACGGTTGGAAGCCTTCAATCATCTAAGGTTTAGCACATTACACAAATCAATTTATGAAGCCAGCTTATCAAATGATATATGTCAAACAAGTAAATCCCGACTCAAATATCAACCAAAGTTTTCTAAGTTCAAATTTGTGGAGGGCAGCTGATGGAGATTCCAAAGAAATGTTAGTGACGACTTGCCAAGGTTCTACTTTTACATCCTTATTGCAGTTTTATATTTTAAGACAATTTAGTTCATTTTTTTCCTTATTGTATAATAATTAATATTACTCTCTCCCTCTCCCTCCCTCCCACTCTTCTTTTGTCTCTTTCTTCTTCCACTCTCCTCTTCATTCGTCTCTTCTTCACCTCTATGCTCTCCCCTTTATATTCTCCTCTTAAATCTCCTCTCATACAATTCAGCAATTGTTCAATTTGTTGTTACAACCATATGCATCAATTTGATATTTAAGCCTGTGATAACAAGAAGCACTAAATTAAGTACTTCACAGATAATTTTTTCTTAGTAGAATCTAAAATATGTTCTTCTGATATCAATAAACTAGTTAAAGAAGCCTGTGAAATCAAAAGCTAAAATAAGTAATGAAACTTGTTCTGACTTTCCAGATGAACAAACACAACCTTTTTATCATTCTCAAACACAGACCCTTAAAACATTAGGGTTCCAGTACCTCTTGTAAGATCAAAGCAAATGAGAAAACATCCACTTTGGTGTCATAATCTTCATTTCTGAAAAGCTCAGGAGCCATATATCGGCCTGTTCAATTGACAGAAAGTTATTTGAATAATTAGTAATTGATCAACTGGGAAGCAAAATAAAAATCTTTTAAGAGCGCTTTTCTAGTAAATAAAACTCTTAAGAGCTGCAGACTCACGAGATGTGTCGTGAAAGGTAAGCGGTCTATCTTGTTTAATTCTGTTGGCCGCTTTGAGTAACTTGCTTACTCCAAAGTCTGCAACTTTCAGATGTCTAGAATCATCCCGCAAGATATTTCTGTTGTCTTACTCAAACATGAAAGAAACTATTTTAAGGAATTTAAAAAAGATGAACGTCATACTAAAATTCATCCTAGGATTTAGAAGATGCAACTATCTATATTCACAAAGTGAAGTTTCAAAAGCAACAGAAAGACTTACGAGGGCTCAAGATCTTGGTGAATAATTGCTTCAGGCTTATTTTCATGTAAATAATTCATTCCCCTGAGAAACCAAATATACTGTTAGAAAGTGTATATATCAGTTATAGGAAAATTCATCTTAGAACATAGGAAGATCAGTCAGCTAAGAAGGCAGTCGACCGGTCGATCCAAATGCAAACTATTTTTCTCCATGCACGGGGATATTTCCTCAAATTTCTTCACCTATGCTTTCATCTGAGGTAACAATCATTTCCAACTTATTTTTAACCTACTCATCAATTGAACTATCTTTCTACTCTTATTTGAGTTACACCATGTAGCTGCACCATTCATTCAGAACAATGATGGTGAAACATTCTTCACAACAGAAGCGAAAAATATTTATTTTTGAAATTTTCAAATTCCCTAGCAATATTCTTCATCCTAAATTTGTTCAGACAAAATTAATTACATATGAGTTTAAGAAATGGTGAGTAAAAGAAAAGAGGGAAAAGCAGAAGAAGAAAAAGAAAGCAATAAATCTGGACTTCGCATCTGAACATGGCCAACTATCTTCTAGTACGATAAGATAACCAAAACGACTTGGTCTGTGAAACAATGATATCTTACAAGGAACTAACAAAAAAATAATAAAGCATCTAGAATTGTGACAACTTTAGGAACAAGTCTTGAACCTGGCAATATCCATAGCAAATCTGACAGCTGTTGCTGGTTTAAGTGCTCCTCTTATTTTCAAAAATTCACGAAGGTCACCCTAGACATACACGAAATAAATATCAGACACTATTCTGAAGATTAGCTCGGCCAGATCAGTTAAACTTCAAATCTAGTATCAAGTATGAGACAAAATCATACAGCGGTATAATACAAAGTTCATGGTCAAAATTCTCTAGCATATTAATTACAAATCAGTAATCACTCATTTGTCAGTATTCAGTAAAGGGAATGCAATTCTGACGCCAATGAAATATTAAATGTGGCAAGTAGAAAATGAAATCAAGGAGCAAAATGCGTCCAAGAAACTGGGAGGACAAAAAATGAGCAAATACTAATGCCAAAAAGGATGAAAAAGAAAAACCCAGATTCCGTATTTCGTGGGGACAACCACTGGTAACTATTTTCAACTTTCTTGACATACATGGCGATTTGTAATATGAATTTGAAAATAATTAACCAAGCTTAGACAGTCAAAGACAGTAAAACTTTAAACTTGAGTAATTAATAGAAATCTTTATCATTTCTTCATATGAACCAGAAAAGGATACATTACACTGTCATAGTTAATATCATGTCAACATAATCATCATATTTGTTTCCCCACTTCCACCACTTTATACGCTTTCAATTTCACATACAAGCAGAAGGGTATTCAAAGGCGTTACAACCCAGAGCCAGTTCATTTCTATAGAAATGGATGCATAAAATTTAAAAACTAGTGATACTTTAGCCTCTCACGCATGATTGAGATGCAAAAGTAGCTAGAGAATAAGTCCATGAAGACTGCACCAGAAACGTCTTTTAGAGAACACTTTACATCTGATCAATGCAGAAGGAAAGAACTGCAATCCACATGCAGACATGAAACTGATATGTCAGGACTTTATCCAAACTCTGAGCACCTACAATCATCTAACATACAAACTGATGTGACGGGCTTGAAGCTAAGTTGCACGGACACAAACACGGACACGGCAACACATGATTTTCCCAAACAGTAGGATACGGACATGACAATTCAAATTCTTTAAAATTTAAAATTTATATATCTTACCTTATATTTTTATGTTTTTTAATGTTGGACAAGGCACATGCATGTCAATCACTTGCACAAAGAATATTCCTAGAGTATCCCTCGAGCATTAGAAATTTTAAAAATAAAATAAAATAATAGGACATGATATGTGGCTTGTTGGATCCATGACATGGAGTGTCCAGGAGAGTAGTTTTCAGACACTAAACAGTAGGTGCCAAATACAGGCACCCACCTTAGTAGGTGTGTCCATGCATCATAGGCTAAGTAACGGGAAACAAACCCATATATTATTTGCACAGGACAAACATAAGAAAAAATGTAATGACCCATTCACATAGAAGAAAAAAGAGTAACGTGTAACTTCTTCAGAACTAGGCCAAACGTCCCAGAGACATAATGCATATTTTGTAATGACAAACAAAATTATATGCATGTAATTCTATATCTAGAACAGCATACATAACAACAAATCTCAGAAGCAAAAATGAATTAAGGCTAAGAGCAGATATTATAGAAAAACAAGAGGTTAAAAATACGTGAACCAAATATCAGCAAAAAATTCATTGGATAACCTTTGGTAAGTATTCTGTAACAATCATCATTGGACTACTTTGTGTTACAGCACCAAGAAATTGGACAACGTTTGGATGCCTTATTTTCTGAAGCAAATCAAGCTCATCTCTAAAGGCCTTCCTACATATATCCAAAGTTTAAAAGAATATAAGTGCACTAGTCTAACAATACAGAATGAAATTTTTGGTAATAAACAACTCACACTTTATCTTCATCAGCAAATCCCTCCCAAAATGTTTTCACAGCAACTTCAATTCCTCGCCATGAAGCTATTTGGAAGGTTCCCTAAATAAGTTACATGTTGTGTCAAAGCGATAAATTAGTAATGCTGAAGCAATATGATTCTTTTAAAAGCAAGTAACCCCATCTACATTCTTTACACAGAAACCTGTATTAAGCAATACTTGACAGACCCATTACAATTGAAGAGGAATGGAGAACCTAACCAAATAGGCACTGTTTAATTATCAAATACGCACTGTTTTACAATATAGGTTTATTTGGCATGCCATTATTGCATCCCTAAATTTTCAAGTTTTCACATGGCCAAAACAATCCTCATTGATCCATGATCCTTTTTCTTAATTTTTCTTTGATTAATGTAATGACACTTCTAACCAGATATAACTGCATCAGCCAAAAAGATTTAGCCTGTTCTTTTCAGAACGAGTGGCATCTCCCTTTCAATTTGCTAAAGTGAGAAGTAGGGAATTCATAGCCAAGTGCTTCTCAGACAACAAAGAAAGGGAGTGGAATAACTGAATTCCCTTTTGGCGATGAGATCTGAGATATTTCATAATTCACAAACTAAGTTACTTAAAATTTCATTCATCATTTCACAATCTAAAAGATGTGGCGTTGACCCCCAAAAGCTCTGACCTTTTTGAAAGATTTTTCATATATAAATACATACACATCTCTTTCTAAGAAAATAATTGCCTTACTACTGTAATTCTGGAGAAACTCATAAATTTTCAAGCAGTCAAGAAAACAATATACGAGTAAAAAGAAATAACGAACAATGTCAAGAAACGCTTAACCGTAAATATTAAGATAAAGCACCCAGTAAACTACCTTGGTTATTTTAACACTGTTCGTAAAATCAAGTTCGCTGGGATAAATCTCGTATTCTGGTACCTCACGGGCATTTTTGACATGCATGGGAGCCATCTAATGAAATCACCAGTAAACATAAGACCTCGTAGAATTTGAAAAGTGACACTGACCAGAAATTTTCTTGTTATGCTACATGTACCACAAAAATATTAAAGAAGGCTTACCGAGTGCTTCGCACCATGTTTCTCCAATAGTTTGATTACATCGTGTTTATTATAATGTATAGCATCTGCAAGAGGCTGTTTAGCCAAAATGAGAATGTAAATAAAATTACTAATGTAGTAAATGAGCAATACTGCAGTCATTCAGAAAGCAGTAACACACATACCAAATATATTGCATAATAAAGTAAAACATTGTAATAATCATCAAAATCCCTTAAATTACATTCTTTTGAATATGTAATAGGTCTTAGAGGGTTCCCGGATGCCTCCTATAGCATAGCAATTTACTCTATTGGCCTAAAAAGTGTATGAAATATGTAAAAAACCATTCACTCGTACCAACACATTTTTTAAGTCAAATATAGACATCCACATAAAACACAAATTCAAAGGACAAAATATACATATATATTTAAGAGTTATACCGTGCTTCCCCATCGATCTTGGGGGTTGACCTGAGCCCCGTTCTCAAGTAACACCTTGGCCACATCACTGTAACCCTGGCACGCGGCGACGTGTAGTGCAGTCCGGTCATCAATATCCCGGAAATTGGCGTCTGTGCCCGAGTCCAGAAGCTCCTTAATTCCATCCAAATCTCCCTCGTTCGTCAAGTACATTAACCTTACTCCCGGATCAATTACATCCAAATCACCATCTTCGTTTTCTCCCGCCAGATCATCACGGGACCCTTGGTCCCGCTCCGGTGCCAGCGATGATTGCTTCCATAGTGCAATTCTTGCGGGGGTTGTGGCTTCCATTAAAATAATCAATCAAAAATCACGAGTGTTTACAAGAAATCACAAATTCTTGAAGCGGTTTCTTTAAAACGTAAATTGGCCTCTTAAACCTAGTTTAGATCTGAAAATACTGTTATGTAAAAAGAATTAGCAAACTTAAAATTTAATTTAACTCAACTACACCCATTAAGCTAAACAGATCAAGAAAATCTCAAAACCCAGATCTTTCAACTATTAAAGTTTCAATCAAGAGAGGTTTAAACACATTTCTCAAGTCAAATGTTGAAAACCCAGCAGAAAATTTCCTAAGCAAGCAATTTCTCAAGTCAACTGTTGCAAACCCAGCAGAAACTAATAGTCCTAAGCAAGCTAGTTGTTGGGACAGTTTCCAAGAGAATTTGGGATCGAAAATTCGTAGATAAAACAAAAAATGAATTTTACTATTCTATCCGAAGAAATCAGTATGAAAAAAGTGTCATTATCGACCATATATATGAGGGTAGCTGCAACATGGAAAGATATTGATAAACATTGACGAAATCAAAGGAATGCAGGTACGTTACGCGGTGGAAATTAAAGAACAATAGATGAAAATGGTTGTGTAGTGTAGGTTGTGATTGCGTGAAATTCTTCACTTTTTATCTTTTTTTTCTCTTACAATTTTTTGTCCTCCAATATTTAAGAATTTACTTTTTCTTAAATTTATCAAAAAAAAAATTCAAAATTTACTATGCCCCCGTTTGGTGCACATTTTTTAAAGAAGAATGCATTTTTACTGTTGATGTGATAGGAAATATATGGTTGAAAGAAAAAAAGGAAAAATTATTGATGTGATGAAAAATATTATTTTATTGAAGAATGTGCAGTTAAAAATGAGTAGAAGAATGAGAATGAAAAAAATAATAATGTTTAGCGAGAAACAAAATACTAATTTAACCAAATCAATTTAGAACTAAGATAAAGTCCATTGAAATGATCGGACATACTTCGCGCACAATATTCAACAAATAAACTATTCATGTGATTGTTACGTAATCTTACTACGCATGTACATCAAAATTTACGTAATGGCTTATATAATGTCACATTTTTATCATTGAACAATTTAAAATACAGTCAATTTTTTAATCCAATCATTTCATTTCTACTCATTTTAAACTCTACTTTTAGACGATTTCTTCTGACAAAGTAGATTAAGGCCCTGTTTGGGAAGGATTTAGATTTCTCTACAGTAAATCAATTCTCATTTTCAACCACACATTCTTCAATAAAATAATATTTTCCATCACATCAATAATTTTTTCTTCTTTTTCAACTACACATTTTCGATCATATCACTATTCAAAATCAATTCTTCCCCCAAAAATCACTCCCAAACAAGCTCTAATTCTTGTTCTTTAGCCTCCTATTGAGAGCTCCATCTGTAAAACGTGATTAGACGGTTATGTTGAATTTGAAGCTTCAACAAATTTAAGTGGGCCTATGCGGAAGATAACATAAATTATGGCTATGCGACAAGTCAAGTACGCACTTTTTAGAATATTGTTAAAATACCTTCTCTTTCAAATGCTTTTGCTTTTTTGGTTGTTTTAATTGTATTTTTTATTTGAAATTGTGTAAAAAATAAGTTTTCTTATTAATCTTTTTTTTCCTGTAATAGAAATCATGAATACACTTGACATAAAAATATTCAATATAATATTTGGAAAAAAAATGATTTTATCATTCTCAGTTTGTTATTTAAAAAAAAATTAACTGAGATGGAATCATATCCCCTAAACTTTGGTAAAGGAAAACAAAAGGCAAATGTCCTGATTCCCACAAGCACAACTTTATCCCTTCTGATGTTGAAATCACAACACAGTTCACAACCCATTAAAGCTATTCCATGACAATAATTAATATTTACCCACTCTTATATCCTAAAAGTGTTATTCTCGAACTTGGATCATCTCATTTTAAAATTTAAAATATCAGAGAATCCTCATATATTCATTTAAATCGTGTCTTAAAATCAGCCTTGATCGATCGATTTCATGACATCACTTTGTAGCATTAGCAGTAAACGACTTGTGCAAAGTGTCAAGAAATTCGTATAGGCATATATTCTTACAGTCCCCACAAGTATTAGCTATATACAAGCGAAGGAGCATCCAGCACAATGTGCACATAGACTGTGATTTGTGTTCAAAGGCAAGAAAAAAGAAAACTCAGCCATGGGAAGAAGTAAGTCTCTTCTCAATCAATTATTTTACCTTAATTTCTTATAAACATTTAAGTTCATGTTTCTTTTGTAGATTGTTTGATTGGGTTTAATTTTTTTCTTTTTCCTTTTTTTTATTTGGGTTTTGTTTGGTTAAAACGAAAATTTTCTTGTTTGCTATGATTTTCCTTAAGAAAGGTGGGTGGAGAAATTTGTCACCATATTATGATCATATGACCTGAAAATAAAATTTGTATGTTACTTGTATTTTCGAACTAGAAGTCGATAATTAATTGTATTTTTTCAATTTTTTTTTTGAACATGTGTAGTGTTTATGTTAATTTAATTATTTGAAGTGCCTAAGCTGAAATAAATATAAAATTTTAATTCTATGATCAATTAAAATAAAAATTAGGATGATAAAAGTTAGTGACAAATAGTGGTTTTAACTCAAAATTCACTTTTGAGTTTCTCTCTGGTTTCGTGGGTTGTTTACCTACTTTTGTGGATGGAATGGATGTTAAGTCGATGAAATAAATATACAAATTATTTATTTGTTAGAGTTGACATTTTAAGAAGGAACAACTCAACTCTTAATAATGAATGAAAGAATATAATTTTAGAACCGGACTTCCTATTTCAGGACCAGCAAGGTGTTATCGGCAAATTAAGGGCAAGCCTTATCCAAAGTCCCGTTTCTGTCGTGGTGTACCTGATTCCAAAATCAGAATTTACGACGTTGGAACAAAGAAGAAAGGTGTCGATGAATTCCCCTTTTGTGTGCACTTGGTTAGTTGGGAGAAAGAAAATGTTTCGAGTGAGGCACTAGAAGCTGCACGAATTGCCTGCAACAAATACATGGCTAAATTTGCCGGAAAGGATTCTTTTCACCTCAGAGTGAGGATTCACCCTTTCCATGTTCTGCGTATAAACAAAATGTTGTCTTGCGCTGGAGCCGATAGGCTCCAAACTGGCATGAGGGGCGCTTTCGGTAAGCCACAAGGAACTTGTGCACGAGTAACAATTGGTCAAGTCCTCCTCTCGGTTCGCTGCAGGGATGCAAGTAGTCAGCATGCACAGGAAGCTTTGCGTCGTGCAAAGTTCAAGTTTCCAGGTCGTCAGAAAATCATTATCAGCAAAAAATGGTATTTTCATAATGCTTTTATTCACTCTGATCATCTCCTTTCCATTGCCTGGAAATGCCAATAATCGTTGAAATTTCAGGGGGTTCACTAAGTTCAACAGGACCGATTATGTGAAATATAAAGCAGAGAATCGTATTATACCAGATGGGGTCAATGCAAAGGTCCGTGATCTTACACATGCCTTTTCTATGTATTGAGAATAATACTAAAATTCATAATCATATTGCCTACAACTAAAAGGCTATAGAATTTTTTGTTTTTCCCTTTTTTTTTTACAATTAATTGTTGTATATTGATAGCAGGAATAGTTTAACAACTGTTGTATTATGCAGTTTCTTAACTGTCATGGGCCTTTAGCTGAGAGGGAACCTGGAAGAGCATTCTTACCTGGAACTTAGCAAGAATTGATGTAAAATCTCTAAAAACTGTCTGAATTGTGTTAAGAATTTAGTTCTGATAGTAGTAAATATACCAGTTAATAAGATGATGTAGACATTCTACTTCTGTTGCATGTTTCCCACGATTTCGAATCCACAATAAGTTCATATCCACTTATGCCTTGTTCATAAGGTGAGTTATATGCACTGCCTACTAAACATAGTGTACAATGTTTATATGCCTGTCTTATTCGATTATCAGCATTAAAGAACTGAAACTTGTACATAGCTAAGTCGACATGTTCTGGATGCAAAGCCAGAGTTTGTGTTTTACGACTCCATGTACTGTGTGATTGGTTAGGCTTAAGTTTGCACTCAGCCACCTTCTCCCACAATTTGCAGCTTTAGTCCTCTGTAGCGGACTTGTACAATGCTAAAGTCTGATAGCTCAAATTGCAGATGTGTTTGACGAGCACATGATCTTTCTCTTCAGCATTTTTTTCCTCCTCATCAGTTAGATCTCCATATAGGAGGCTCAAATGTTGCATATAAGCTGCAAGAACATTGAAGACTAATCAGAATTACAGTCTATTTGTAGATTACTAAGAAGCCACATTGAGAAGTCCTGATTTTTAGTTAAACAAACATGGGAAAATCAAAGAAAAGAAGAGTACTCAAGTAATTACTTCTGGTAAACCCAATAAAGAGGGAGGGTGGGAGAGGGAGGGTGAGGGTGAGCATAGTTAACGTAGTATAAGTTCACTATATTCAAAGTTAGCTCAGTGACTTGCATGTTGAGGTCTTGTAACCAAAATGACTCTGCAATGAGCACTAGCCTCCATTACCTATTTTATAGGAATTTCAGGTCACCAATTTATATGGAATCGCGTGAAAGCATGTGGACATGTTTGGTACACATTATTATAAATACTGTACACTACAAATGATTTTGACTTTCTTTTTCCTCAAATGTCCAGGCATTGCACTCCTTCATGTCAAACATGACAGTATGTGTATGAACAATGCTTAATGGAGAAAACAAGAACATTGTTCGCCTTCCTATTGAAAATTAGAAACCATAGTTTTATACCATCAAGACAATAAAATTATAGAAAGAAAATAGACACACAAGAAAACTCAAAATTTTTTAGAGGCTAACCTCAATGTGAAATTACGTCCTCGTCTACTGTTGCAGTAATTCACTATAATGAAAAGATGAATACAAGAGAAAATTCGCACAACCAATTTTCTCTAACCCATCCCTCCGTACCTCTCTCTTTTGTATAATGATACAAAACCATAATGATAGCTCCCTATTTATAAGAAATTTAGGGCAAAATCGAAATACAAGTGTAAAATTATTAAATTATACTTAATTAGGTTGAATCACGTACAAACTTTGTACAACAACAAGAATTAGAGTTCACAACTTAATAATATCTCATTTAAAAACTAATCAACCATCAATGACTTATTTGCAGCGACAAAAACTCCTCAATCCTCAAAAGAGAAGACCAACTTCAATTATACACAACTTTAATTTCTCGATCAGAACAGTCGTCAATATGTTGCTAAATTCTGACTCGTCAACATGTTGCTAAATTCTAACTCACTTGAATCTACAAAAGTGTTAAGATTTCATTCTCCAAAACCGATCTAATGAAATGATACCAAACATGTATATGTTTTGTCCTTGCATAATAATAAGATTCTTTACGCAGTGTAGCATTGTGATGTCACAATGCAACACACTCTTCTCATATTTGCAACCATATCATCTATTCATTAGCTTCAATCGTGACAACATGCTTCACTTCAATGGTGGAACGAGCAACTATTTTCTACAACTTGGACTCAACTAACTATTGTACACTGTAAAGTGAATACATGTCCAGTATTATTTTTCCAGTCATCAATATCACTTGTCATGTCAGTATCAACATAGTCCTGAAATTCCAAGCCTAGTCTTACGTCGTAGCACCTTATGAAGTTATTACTACTCATAAAATTATCAGACTTCTTATACCACTATCTCGAAACTAGTTTAAGATCATACAAAACCTTACAAAGGCATCATGTAAATTTCTTCCTCAAAATCATCGTGAAGAAATGTTGTATTTACATCAAAATGCTCTTGGTACAAGTCTTCATTTTCCACTAACCAAGTATTGCTCTAATTGTGGTTAATCTCACCACATGATAGAAAATACATTGTAGTCAATGGCTTCTCCTTTACAACCAACTTTACTTTATATATCTCGTTGTCGATGCTCTTCTCTTAACCAATAAACCCATTTATAAACCTTTTTTTCTACAAGGTAACTCTGTCAATTGCTATGTACAATGAGTCAATCTCATCCCTCATGGTTAATTCTCACTTTATTGATTCACCAACTTGCACAATTTTTTACTATGACTTTCTTATCCACCTCTATTATTCAATAGAATATAATGTAACTTTCAAATGAAGTGTTCATATTTATTTAGAATCCGTGTACAATAAAACTTAGTTCGAATTATAAATCGAATATTTGTAGTCTTAACAATTTAAGCACTCGATTTATAATATCAAATAAATCGTTGAACAATGCAAGTTCAAATTAGTACAAACAATTTTTATTGTAAAATATACTAATATTTTATTTAAAAATGTCATACAAAATATATTTATTCGATGGGCAAACACTTATACAACATCAACAATTTAAACTAATTGAAGAGGGAGATTTTTTTATACTATTATTTTTCATCTTCTTTGTTTTGCAACTCACGTACCCCCGTCCCATGGATTTGAATTTCATGACCCTCCTCTTTCCTGTACTTGTACCTCTTAGAAACAAGAAGATAGATGAAGAAATTCAGCAAGCTCATCAGGGAGAGCAACCGGTAGAAAAGATTCAAATGGTTACGGTTAAAGTTGTTTCCGGCCAGCCAACCTCCACTGCGCGTGATATCCTTCGTTGCATGGTTCACTATGTTCACAACTATGGTGCTAAGGAAGTACCCCAACGCCATAGAACTCCAAAGAAAACAACTCGAGATCGACTTCAGATCCTTTGGTGCTTGGGAATGGAAGAATTCTAGAAGTCCCACATAGGAGAACAAATCAGCTATCCCGAATACGAAGTACTGAATTGATAACCAAAAGACACTGATCGGCAATGGCTGCAAAATCGGTATTGCATCAAGCATGTTATGATCTCTCGCAACTTTTTTTCTTTTTACTTCCATTATAGCAGCCATCGTCATAGACAAGGAGGATAGGATGAGCCCAACTCCTACTCGTTGCAGATATGTTATGCCAGTTGGAATACCCGTGACCTTACGTGCACATGGGACGATTATTTGGTCATATAGCGGGATGATGAATATCAAAAACAGGACAGGAAGGATCGGGAGTGAAGCAGGTGGAATTTTGAAGGAATTGGTGATTCTTGTGTCCATAGTTAGACCTTGCTGGACGGAGAAGGTTTGCAGTTGTGCCAAGCAAAGAGTCATAATTATTGAGCAACAGAAAACCGGAATCATGTTTAGTAAAATTTTTGCATTTTCCACTTGAGTCACTCTGCAAAGTTTCCATGGATTTGGTGTTTCAGACTGTGTTGAAGATGTCTGGATGGCCGCTTTGTCCAGGAATCTGATAAACAAAATTAACAAGAAAAGCTTTATAAGTGGATATTTTGTACGCCATACTCGACACCACAATGAATATAATTTTAGATTCTTTTCCTTCCTTAATAAAGTCTACACGTGCTTTATAATGAAACTTGTTAGGGAGTTGACCTAAAAACATTGGTGTGAGGTAGAAATTCTGCTTCAATTGCTGCTTCCTTGTCCTTATTGATCTCGTACAGTTGATTAGAGTCCTCGGGAAGCTGAAGATTTCTGTTCCTAATGGCTGCAACAAACACCTATTATCGAAAGATTAGACAAACAAAATTAGTGTATAAAATGCATATAGGAGATTTTCACTTTTCAAGAACGGAAAGAAATTGTATGAGCACCTGTACAATTTCAGTAAGGGCACTGTTCCCATGAATAACAAGGAAACGGTACAGTGGTAATCCAGAAGCAAAGACTATTACTCCCAGGAACATAGCAACAACGCTTACAAAAAAGCCTAAATCCCATCCTTTATGATCTTGAATCCAGACAACAAATGTTAAGCTAATAGCACCACCTACGCATAGTGCCATTAAGAACCAATTGAAAAAACTCGACATCTGTCTTGCCTCCTTCGGATCTTTATCATCGAATTGATCGGCGCCATGAGATGGCAATGCAGATTTCACTCCTCGAGAACCAAGTGCTGTCATGTAAAGAGCGATAAACAGAAGTGCAGCATTACTTCCAGTAACTTGAATACAATTTGTAGACGTTGGATCATAAATATTGCAGAGCGGGGGCTTGAATTTAGGATAGTGAGCTTGCAATGCTAGCAGTCCAAGTCCCTGCACATAGATTATGATTTGAAAATCAATATAGAGTTTCCATAAGATCAAATAATTGAATATTTTCTTCCTTTTTCATACCACCACTATTACTAGCAGAAGGTACTTGATGATGCTTATTTTAGTGAAGGATGTACTCACCAAAAACTCGATTATTGCTGCAATGAGAACTGCTTTAAATCTGCCTAAATAAGTGTCTGCTAGGAAGGCAACGAGGATGGTAAGTATATAACCAGTTCCCATATAGTTTGTCAGGTGGTTTGCTGCATCAACCACGTCGAAGTGCATCACCACATTAAAGTATGTCACCAAATTAACTGCCAAAGCCAAAGTTGCCACGTTCTCAAAAGCAAATGTACCTGTGAAAAACATAAACCTATAAAGTGCATGTTTTGGTTCTTGTTGACAGTATTGTCCATTCTCATCCAGCTATTATATCTATTTGGAATATAACATACAATAATCTCGTAGACTTTCAATTTGGTTTAATGCATGTAGCAAATTTATTACCCAGTATGAGCAAAGACGGGCCGAATCCACCATGCTTATCTTTCCTGGCCGTTCTTCCTTTCCAGTCCACCTTCCCTTCAATAAGTTCAGCTTTATCCTGCAGCAGAAGAGGAATATCGGGATTGAATTCAAGAAAGCATGATGCAATTAGTATTGACAAAGCAAGTGAAAAGTATCGTAGTACCATGATTAACAGAAATTCGAATGCTGAGACGTAGACCAGAAGTGAGAAGAATGGTGAAGCTTGAATGTAGTTAAAATATATATATATATATAGAAGTAAAACGCCGGTATAAGAATAAGGATTGCCAAAAGTGCTTGATGTTGATCGTTGATGACTACTGTTGAAGGAAATAGTTCATTTTTTGTCTGAACATCCTCGGACAGATTTGAGGAACTTTGCAAGTTGGAGGGGAAGATTCTGTTGAAACCGTCGAAGTCAAGAAATAATTGGAAAAGGTTAAAAATATGAACGCCAGTCATGTCCTGCTTCCTATTTTTGCTTTATATGCGATTTGATACCTCTCAACGCTTTGCAGACAACCATTAGCTTCATATTAGCATCAGTTTTCAGTTAAACTAAAATTGACATCATTTTCTCAGCTTTCATATGATGCAATGACAATTATATATATCTTTGTCACCTGTGAAATTGCGTGTATTAAGAAAAAAAATATGTGGCTACCAATGGGAACTTTTGACAAAACAGACGTAGAAAATTCAGCAAGTGAAAATCTTGCAGGGTAATGATGAATTTAAAATGGAATGGCTATTTCTTTTTTTTTTTAAGGGACAAATCATCGACTCATTCTTAGTGTATTTTTAGGCTCCACTAGAGGAGGACAATGGGGGATAGGATTCTCCAACCATAATATATATGAAATTCGCTTGAATACATGGGGAGGCGGAAGCCAAACCTCCAACAAAGCAGCAAATAGACGAAAAACAATAATGATGAGGTACTACCTCCTTTACAAGAGTAAAGAAGCAAAAGTAAATTTTAACCCTCTAAAAATAGGGATGCAATATCTGTCAATCAGTATGAGGGTGCATATTCGTCGAGAAAGATCTTGGGTCCATACTCCTAATAATGACGTTATTTCCAACCTGCAGTAGCGAGTCAACAACCTAATTTTCCTCATGGTATATGTGAGAAATCACGTCTCAATCAAATAAAAAATGATATCTGATATGTTTTAGAGTTTCTTGAATAAACCATAGCTCTGTAAAGGAGCTTAGGTCAACCCTTGTATAATAGTAGTCATCAATTGAAAGCAGAAAAGATGGTGATGAGTTGTGATTGGTCTAATCCTTTGATGGGCGACTTATTATGACCACTTTTCTAAGGTCAGTTTTGCCCTGCAAAGCCTATTCGGAGGACTGGGTAACACTTTTCTAAATCGTGGTGGCTGGCCTGGCCAGACCTTATCGCAATATTTCCAAGCCGGGCCACCACAGGTTGGGTTGCTCACTTTGACACCACCCATCCATCCCCTGGAATAGCTCTGTATTGTTAAAACATATTTTCTATCTGACAGTCTCTTTCTTCCACATTGTTAATACATCATTTTAATTTTATTTTATTTTTGGACGATTTTATTAAGCATCATCGGTATTTCAAACAGACCGCCGCTGGCTACATATACAAAACAACTTGAAACCCCACCCATCTTCTCGAAGTGATTATTCTATTCTGCAGGTTCCCTTCAGAATCTAGCTCATGCGCTGTACTTCAGAAAAATATTTCCTCTTTTTTATTGGGAAAAGAAGACTGCGTTCCTTCTTGTGTCATGTGAAAGCAAAGCAAGGTTGGGTGGGCAAACAGAAGAGAACGGTGATTAACGTAAAAGCATATGCAGTTTCCACCCAAAAAGTATTACTGCAATTATTCCGCAGCCGGAAACAATTCTTCAATTACGAATAACAAACATAAACAAAAGTACGTTGAATTTGTCAATGAAATTGGTTCCAACGGTTCTGATGTGCAACTTTAATGAAAATATCATACGAAAAAGATCAATAAATAGAAATGAGCAAAACTTACATTCTATTCAACAACAAAAGATTCAAGCAAAACGAATTAACTTATTAACAGAATAGACATACACCGCCTGTGCAAAAAAATGCTTAAAAGAGTTAGCAAACCTGCGAATGCAGGTACAAATTAATCGCCTATCACCATGTTTCAGTAGTTCAATAGGGAGTTCTTTATCCGTAACATAATTTTTCCCTTCTCCACCCCAAGCTTAGCTCCTGTCACAAGCCAGTGGCCTGGCATGTCCTGGGGTCCTTTTGACATTTCTGTTGGATCCACAATTTTTGTCAGTTTCCCGACTTGATTTGAACCATCCAATTTTCTATCATCGGGGATTTTCTCGTTTGACAGTGAACTTGATGAACCATCAGGTCTTTGTGGAGCAGACAGGTTGGCAGGGCTGTGGTCCCACACAGAACGCCTTATTGTACACCCGGGTACTTTGGAAAAGAGAAGTTTAAGGTGTAATACACTTTTGGCACCAAAATCCCAGACACCAAGCTGAGCACCGGTGACAATGTGAACGCCAGATAGATCTCCGATGCATGTATCAGTATACTCTATAGGTGCAGTGCTCACATGTGAGAAATTTTTCCACTTGATTGGTTCAAACCATCGGCTATCCTGCTCTTCGGGACCCTGCCACTTGGGCGCACCTATAGCCACATGTGCATCCCAGTGGGGTTGAAGGATTTTAGGAAGAGACACTAGATGCTGTAAATGGATAGCAAGACGATTATGCTTACTGCCTTCTAGGCTGAGTCTGAGGCCTGTGACTGGTTTACGCCCAACTGTCACCTGCCATATCCCAGAAGTTTTGACTTAGAAAACTGAAACAGATAATTGTAGACATTGCTTATCAGCCAGGAGAAGATGAAAATCCTGGATTTTCTTGCTTAACTGAATTATGCTGGCTGTATATCTTAAGTACAATAAAAAGAACTATATACCTGATCGGGCCTTATATAAAGCTTTGGACCCATCAAACTGAACTGAAGGAATGGACACACAGGCTCCTTTCTTTGTAGATTGTTCTGCTCTGGAGCCCAAACCCGAGAAATTTGGAAGTCCAAGAAATATTGTAGATCCTCAATAGGTGGCTTGTCTGGCAGAAACAAAACCAAACATATTATGCAAAACTAAAGATATTAAGAATATAAACGGATCTTCTCCCCAAAGAAGTGTACAAGAATATCTAAAAAAGTTAACAGAAACATAATCAGAATCACATTGCATTGCATCTTATTCAATAGGATAAATTGAGTGCCATATCAAACCATCAAAGGATAAGAACTTAAATACTTAGAGAAGTATACATTGAAAGCACTCAATGGGTGTTTGCAAGAAGCCATCTTTCCAGTGACCAAAGAAGTCGAACAAAATTTCTTCACATTCAGCTCCACCATAGACGAAATGTTGAATACCAAATCCATAAGAGTTTATTTCAATAATGTTGAAGGATCTCAAAGGTCCGAATTGTTTCAGTTTTAGAATCCAAAGGTTTTGATCTAATACCACCCTCACGATGCCAAAACAAAATGAAAACAATGTTGAAGGAAAAAGCTATATATAATGTCCTTGCAGTGTTCCAAAGCCACCAAAATCGAACATAAGAAAACATTTTATTTACTACATGTACCTTTTTTTAAGAATCTACCGAAACTATTCTAACAAAGCCCTGAAATGAAGTTCTTGCTTTTAAATTGCAGGAAATCAAGTGGCCACCAAAATCGAACATAAGAAAACATTTTATTTACTACATGTATCATTTTTTAAGAATTTACCGACACTATTCGAACAAAGCCCTGAAATGAAGTTCTTGCTTTTAAACTGCAGGAAATCAAGTGGTAACAGAGGAGGAAATCTTACATTCCAAGTATAATTCTATAGCACGACTCAGGTGCTTTATTCGAGGAACTCCTTCGAGCAAAGAGACAATGGGAACAAATGTCATGTTGATCACATCTGGGGCTGCTTCTACAGTCTGAGCCCACTTGGCATGACTCTGCTCAAGGTCATCCCCCCCTCTTCTTCTGAAGATCACAGTAACATCCTGCATCAGGAAAAATGCTTTCAGTGCCTTTCTTAAAATCACGATAGAATAGTAAGTAGTATTGTTGGAGTGGCCCCAACAAGTACTCTAGAACAAGAAACAATGATCAAAAGCCAAGAGCTCTACTTTTTCTTTTTAAAGCCAGCAGCTCTATAAGATTAATGTAAGATGTAAGTACTTTTTGACAGATAAACGAGTTTCAACAGGGAAAAAAACTTGAATAAAGCAGCTGCACTTACCTTGTCCTTGTATTTTAAGGGGCCGGCATTTGTATGGCTTTTTAAGTCAGTGAACCTCTGGTCTCCAATGTCTTTCACGTGGTTTTCAATATCTGAAACTGACAAAGGTGATGACTGGTGCTGTCTAATATAGACCATGTCCCTTCCACCAATTGTTGCAGAGGTGACAATATGGGTGCCGTAATTCTCAATAAAGCTGGAAGAAAAAGGTATCGACCCATAAATCCTATAATGTCAGCTTCTGAAAGGGAAATAATCGTCTATAGTTCACTATCGACCTCGGGTTTAAATATGCATCAATATTGGTCCTTCAAATATTTTGACAACATTTTCAAAACCACAAAGAAACGGAAAAGACCAGAGAAACTCCAACAATGACATTCAATCCTACCACTTTAGGATCTATAGAATCTTTGTTTGGAACTTCAGTAATCAGTCACATTGTAAACATGAAGGACCATTTTCTTCCTATATTAAACATCATATATAGAAAAAGCTCATTGACTATAAGTGACATCCAAGGCAAGGATGAAGGATAAAAGGAATTCATATGCTAAGACTTTCATAATGTTTCACCTTGCCAACGATGCGGGGTCCCAAGAATACGGAACTGCGTTCTTGATGTCATCATGCAAAACTAAATTGGATTTTGATAATTTGACCTTAAATAATGGCATGATACGACCAACCATTGCAAGGGACTTCGTAGCTGCTGCATCAAGCTGCCACGAGCCAGTGAAATTAAACATAGCATTAAAGCTTCCCAGTGGCACGTGTCCAGGTACATAAGACTTCTCACTGAAGTATTTTGCCATCTGTAATACAAGTATCGAGAACATTTAATTAAAATAAGGGACCGAAACCATAAACGCAAATGTGGCATTTCAGAGCACAAATAATGGACAATATATTCAGTCAATTAAGAGAACAATCCGTTCTCTCACTCTCCACTTCTCTTTTCTTTCTTTTCTTCCTTCTTTTGGTGAGGTGGGGAGTCAAGGGTCCTTTCAGTTGAAAAAATTGAACCTATAAATCGGTTTATGAAGTGCCCTTTGTGAACATGGCCAATACTGCCCCAAGCATAGCCCAAACAGAAGATTGACATATCTGATCTTGCCCCACAATTGTAACCCACGAAGGCAACCCATATTCAAATAGCACTCATTCTCGCTCTATGGCGTAATATGATCTGGCTCTGTCATGTCTGCCAAATAGAACTTCCTACGAATTTTAAATCTAACTCACCTGTTTCGATGACGTTGAGTTCCTATTGGCTTCAAATTAATTCCATGTCCTGTTTTGGCTTATTCACTTTGATCATTCACGGTAACATTCAAATGCATTAAATTTATTTCCTTCGAAAACATTTTTCATTCTTTAAGTAATCCAAAGACTTAAATCACTATTTTTCTAAAATATAAGGAATTGACATACATTCAATCTCAAATCCACCAATCCAAATGAGACCTTAGTTTTCTTTTTCCATTTTTTGATATCATTTTTCCTCGTGTACATTGGTTCCTCGTGTAATTTTAACTTTTGATACGGATAAATACCAAAATTTTATAAATTACAGCGAACCAGTAGCTACAAAATCATCCAGGATCACATGATATACAATAATTTGAATTCCCTTTCGCACCCAGAGAACTAGAAATAGAAATATCTTTCAGGACATCAGAAAACAAACATGGGAAGCAACCAATGTGACAATTCAGTCACATGACAAACTAAAAACATTAAATTCTCCACAATATACCCATTTTCTGCATCAACATCTGTATATTAGCTGAATCAGATTGAAAGCTCAGAATACAAGTAACACATATCAGAACAAAAAGGATTTGTGCATTCTAAAGTCAACTCATTTGAAGATTGTCTCTCTGTATAAAATTAAGATAACCAACAAATTCTTATAAAGATTCAACAAGAAAATCGAACCCAAATCATCGGTTCAAGTATCCAACCACAACCAAAAAAAGCCCAGACAACAAATCAAACTTGAAGCAAAAAAGGGTTTAAAAAATGGGAACTGACCTCATGGAAGGGCCAAACCGGGGTGGTCTCAGTGGAACTGCGGCCTTTGGAGCAGTCGATGTCAATAGAGACATTTGGGATAACCTGATTTTCGGCGATTTCAAGATTCTGGGTGTGCTCATCATCAATATGCACTAAGCGAGAACCAGGTGCCCCTTTACAGTACAGCAGCCTAATATCAGATGTAACATCAAACCCACGGCCTAACGTTTGAATTGAGTTGCAGATTGTGGTAAGCAGTGCATTTTCTGAAATTGCTGTTCTGTTCTCCATTGAATAGTAAAGATTTATGATTCTAAAGATTTATGATTCTTTCATTGCATTGTAAATACTGGAAAAAGATTGAAACTTTGGCTTTGTTTTGAATTGGGGCGGCTGGTGGCGGTGTTGGTGAGTCAGAGGTTGGACTTTGGACTTGACAACATTGTTGTCGATGGTGGTGCAGTTGGTTTGGTAATTTGCTCAAGCAAACGGACTATTTTGGCTGTAATAATGTCAACAAACGCGTTGTCGTGCTGTTTCGTTGACCACACAAAATTCTTCATTATTCTTTGTATTTTTAGATTATAAATTATTATTGTAAATTATTGTTTATTAAAAAATATCATTATTTCCCAGTTCTAATTATTATACTTCTTACAATCCTAATTCTTCGATCTGATTATATTGATTTAACTATAGCAATTTATAATAGATACATATTTTATTGACTGTAATTTTTTCGTTCAATATTTCAAAAGAATATTGTGTTATTATTCTTGAAAAAACAAAACAAAATCTATATTTTAGAAGAATGTTGTAGTATTGCTTGAAAATGAATATGATATTTTTATTTTTTTTGACTCATGAAAAATCACAAATTCATACATGAGAATTATTAAAAATAATATTGTATTATTATTTTGAAAAGGTGTAGTTTTTGTGCATATCATATTCTAGACAATTCCATTTCGATTTTTTTTGGTGAAACAAGACATTACAATTTCAATATTCCAGAAGAATATTGACCAACTACTTTCGAAGAAGCAATGGTAACATCATTTTTTTTAAACCAAAAATAATAATAATATTTTTTTCATGCTCTAGAAGTAGCACATATCTCGAAGAAAATAATACAATCCGAGATACAGTTTATATGAAAATTTTATGAAAAATGGCATAATCACAACTTCACAAATTTATAAAAATTATGGAAGAAAAATCTATATTATGTTAATATTTTAGTAGAATATTATTTACAACTGAATAGTATAATTTACAAGATTTATTGTTTAATAATAATACTATGTTATTACTTCTAAAGAGAAAATATCTATGATTAATAATAATTTGTTGATATTTGTGAAGAAGTATAAATTAAATAACTCAATCTTGAGTTATAATTTTTGAAGAAAATTAACTTTCCATTTTTTAATATTCCAAAAAAATATTATATTATTGCTCTCGAATAAATATAAAAATTGATATATTAAAGTGACTTAAGATAAGTCACCAAGTATTCTAGTGAGCAGACTGAGAGAAAATTCATATTGCAGAAAATTTTGGAGAATCTATATAGCACGTAGTAGCTATGATCAAACATTGATGCCTCTGTAATGTTGATCATCATGAAAGTTGGACAACAAGTTCGAAACTTATTGTTATTCAGATCTAACGATTTAGATTAAAATCAAACGGTTCACTTGTAAGAAATTGTTACGCGAATTATAGTAAGAAATTTGAATTGATTAGAAGATCGTGAATTTTTTTTAAGAATAAAATTGTTTTCATGTTTAAAAAAAAAAAAAGGAATTTGAGAATACTCAAAGTAATCTAAGTTTATTTTAATTAGTTCTTAAATACTACGTCGTTACTTTTGAAGAAGAACGACTTTATATTAATTTAATATTTCTGAAAAATATTGTGTTGTTCACATAGAGCACAAAATTTGATTTTTTAAAATATTATATTGCTTGAAAGTTGGAACGAATTTGTAATATCAATTTTTAAGAAAAATGAAAGGTTGAACAAATTGTTAATATCAATATTCCACAAGAATACACTACGGCAAAAATGAGCTTTCACAACATATAAAAGGCAACATTCGATAGTTAAGTGTTGTTAAAGAGATCTATCACAATATTTTGATAAGTAAATGTTGCAATTGGTTAGTATAATTGAGTTTTAGTAAAATTTTGTAAATAAATGTTGCAAAAAAGTGTCTTTCGCAACATTTGTTGGACATTGCCAAAGGGTCAACCTTTTGCAACATTAAACGTTGCAAAAGGGTCAACTTTTTGCAATGTTGCTGCAAAAGGACACGTTGCAAAAAGTTGACCCTTTTTCAAAATAGTCTGGGCCAATTTTTGTAATTGTGGACCGAGTTAAAATTGATTGTGGACGGGGTTAACCCGACCATGACCCGTCTTATGTTTACAACGTTGGAACACTTCCTCAACCCTCGCCATTCTCAACCCTCGCCGTCTTCGATTTCCCATTTCTCCCCGTCTCCACCTCTCTTCCTCTCCGGCCCTCCCCGACTCACCTAACATCACCTCTTTCAGCTGCCATTCTCAAATTCTGGGAGAAGAAAGTAAAGTTTTCACCTCTTTTTCTTTTTTTTCCCCCTTGATTTTCCTTTTTTACTCAATTTCAACGATTTGTTCGTATTGTTTATGTGCCGTTCAGTTTGAATTATTATGGGTTTTACTTTTTATATGTATTTTCTGTGAGCTTATATGACCGGAAGTGTGTTTCATTGAAACATGATTCAAATTATTTTGAATCTCGTTTTCTGAAAAAATCACAACAAAATCTCTAATTGTTTTATTTATAGTGTATCTATTTACTTAGCTAACATTAAAAATATAGCATACTGGTAGGAGTTTGAGGGTCACTTTTAACCATGTTCATATTCTGAGTAATTGGAGATACATGCTGGTAGATATTGGATAACCTAGTTCTCCTCTTCTAGCTCCTTAGAATGTATTGTTTTCCAACATTAGGTAGGACAACCTATAATGGATTTATCTCCTAAACCGGTATAAGTGATCACTTGGCTAGAATTTTCTGCAATGCAGCCTGAGAGGTTATTGCACAAAGGTTTATAATTCCCACGTACGACTTTGACATATCACTCTTATTTACCAGAAGTGGTTGTTCCATCTTTCTTGAAAACAGGCTTCAGCTTTCCAAGGTCTACAATTGAGGCATTTGGTCTAATTCCATCATCAACAGATATCGTAACTGGCTCCTTATCTCCAGTTTTGGGGTCAACAATCTTTTTCAACAAAAATATAAATCAGCAGAAAAGAAAGGATAATTCAAAGGTGAACAATTTTAGAAAAGTTAATCAAAATTTTCATACCTTAATTTTCACTGGTCTGATTTCATCTTTAAATTTACCAGATGCAGTCGCAGCAACCGCCTTTCTATGTGACTTAACCTAAGTGGACAATTAGAAGATGTTAATTACAGAGAAAAATTAAATCAATCACCAAAGTGACATATCATTCAACTCACAGCAGCCTGATCTTGCTCCTGCCTTGCGACACCAAAACGACTGGCAACATTTTCTGAGGTAATACCCATTGGGAGCAAACAATCTTGAGCTTGTGCCATAGTTTTTACTTCATTTATTGACAAGATGTTAACACATAGCATGGCACTCCTTACCAATGAAAAGAATAGCACTTCATGATACAAAAAAAATATACTTTTGGATTGACTGAGCCTTCCCAATCCATAGAATTGACAATCATTGATTCCAATCCAGCACCAATCCCTGATTCAGAAGGTTGGAAATTCAATAAATGACAAATTATATATGCAACCGATTCATCTATCACTGGTTTTCACCTGCCCTTTGTATGTTTGGAACCATTTGTTCATGGTATATGTCGATTGCTTTAATCCACATCAGTCTAATATTACTTTTTGGCCGAAATTAGTGGAGGTGAAAACTAACAACCGTTTAAGAGACGACATACAGATTAGCTCTTAACAAACAACATATACAAAACTTTGCATTTTGTATTAGTAGAAGGTACCCTTTAAGCACATATGCATGTACCAATATCATAAAATCCAGATTTGATGGCGGCAGCAATATCAGCTACTGCTTGAAGGCAAGATGCATTGTGTATCTCCTCTTCTAGCTCCTTAGAATGTATTGTTTTCCAAAATTAGGTAGGACAACCTATAATGGATTTATCTCCTAAATTTAGAGCTGCAGGAATTCAAAGTGTTTATCACTCTATCATATGAAACTAATCTTATAAATCTAGTTGTCCAATAAATAAAATTAACTTATACTGATCATAAAGTTTAATTTGTAAATTTTCAGAACAATATAGAGATGGAGCACAGAATTTTGTCTAATCTTATGAATCTAGCTAACCAATAAACAAATAACATATAATGATCATAATGTTTAATTTGTAGATTTTCAGAACAATATAGAGATGGAGCACAGAATTTTGTTGAATGATTTCGTGAAAATTACAATTCAAAAATGATAACATGCCCTTGCGTTAATTGTAGGAATCTAATGCATCATCATTATGATACGGTCTATGAACATTTGGTTATTAAAGGTATGGATCCTACATATACCGTTTGGGTATTTCATGGAGAGCAACCAAGTAAATCAAATTTGGACGACGTAGAAATGTTTGAGTCGGGTAGGTTGTTTAAGGATTTCTATGCACAACATGATGTAGATCCTGAAAACCATCATGATGGAAGAGACAAAGAGATTGAAAGTTTAGTTAATAATGTTGCATATTTGTAACATGTTAGTGGAGGCAGGTCAATGGTTAGATACGATAGAAATAAGAGTTCTTCTTTTATGTGAGGGGCGATCTTAGTTTTGCTTGGGTTGTGAGGTCCTCACTGAAGATAAACATCCTCCTCCTTTTAACAGCATCCTAATTAAGTTGCTTGAGAATGATATATTGTGTGATATTCTGACTTGTACATGTGAGTAATGCCATTTAAACTACATGAAGCGACTCTGTAGTATTTATTGAAATTTGATGTTTAGTTTATGAAGGTTGGAGTATTTCATATGTTAATGAATAATGTCCAATTCTTGTCCTTTCTTCTTGCTGATATTATTACTTTTTCGCTAGCTGGCTCAACAATATCATGCATTTAATCAAAATCTTCTTTACTAGGTGTTCTATTATGCTAATCCAGTATCTCTTTCTGATACAGGGTATGGAGATATACATGCGGTCAATCTGAGAGAGATGATATTCATTATGATATTGGTAAAATGTAGGCACCAGCAACTCCTTTTTTGATGCTATAGAATATCAATCCATACTTGCTGAGCATCGGAGAAAAATCTAGTATGAATTATTGCACGTTTTGTACTCATCAAAATGATGGAATAGATGTTTTTGATGCTAGGTTGACCTTTTAAATTGGAAACATGTATAATGAAATTATTTTGAATATTGCACAATGTATATGCACTCACATGGTTTAATTAGTTTCAATGCAAGAGCATATTTTTCTATTTTAATTATGATTTCTTATATTTTTTTATGTCTCTGTCACATCTCTCTATTTATTGGATATTTTATTTACGGTAAAAACTTCAAAATTTGTATAGGCTGCCTTTTAATTAGGTTGAACGTGTAGAACATTTTACAAGTTCATTATGTGAATTGTTAGTTTATTATTCGAATTGTTTGATCAAAGAACAAGATTTTCGGTAGCATAGAAAGCATATAAGAAAAATGCGAATTAATTAAAAAAAATATTAAAATCACCAATGAAAACCAAGAATTCATAACATTGGAAAAATGCTGCAAAATGGTCTTCCGCAACGTTGAAAAAACACTGCAAAAGTCTATCGCAACGTTTAAAAAAGCTTCAAAATGGTCTACCACAACGTTGAAAAAACGCTGCAAAAGGTTTATCGCAACGTTTAAAAAATGCTGCAAAAGGGTTTCCCGCAACGTTTAAAAAATGCTGCAAAATTTTTTTCGCAACAGTGAATCAACGCTACAAAAAGTCTTCCCTCAATGACAACATCGACTTTCGTAACACACTCTAAAACGCTGAAAAAGCCTTTTTTTGGCGTAGTGATATTGTATTTATACTCATGAATAGTATATATCTCGTTGTATTCCTAAATAAGCACAACTTAATATTAAAAATTTTATGTTGATTTTCTTGAAGAAACACAACTCAACTACATAAATATTTAAGAAAAATATTATTTTGATATTCCTAAAAAAATAATTTTTTTTTATAAAAATCAATATTCTAGAAGAATATTGTATTAGTCTCGAAGATTAACTTTTTATTAGTCTTAGTTTCATAATATGTTAATACTTCTAGAGAAGCGTAACTCATATACAAATAATTCATTATTCTAGAAGAATATTTTGTTATTTCAAAGAAAGCTTATAAATATTATTAATCCAGAAGAATATTGTCATTTATAAATAATTATAAAATTTTACATACCAATGTTCTTAAAGAATATTATTTAGTTATTCGTGAATAAACTAAAAAAAGTATCATGAAATTATTTTTGAAGAAGCATGATTCTACACGTACTAATATTCTTGAAGAATATTATGATGGCGCTCTCGAATAAGCACACTTCTAAAAAATTATGGAATCATTGAAATCAAATATTATCAAGAACTTGAAGTTGGTTGATTCAAAAACTTTATGATTTGATATAATATTTATATCATGAGACGTTTGTAGTGTACATGTAATACATACAAGCATCCAACTAAACTCATGATGAGTCCTTTAATGAAAATCAATACAATATAATATTGAGATTTTGAAAATTCGATTGTAAGGTAATAGAAGAGTCAATAATATGTTAAACTCATTTTCTTAGTTTTTACTATACGAATATTAATACAATTGAAGCAAACAATATATTGAACTAGAAATTTAACTGCTGAATGTATTATTGTTTGGCATGATCAGTTAGTTCATCACTGGATCAATAATGATGGAGAATTAAGAATTGAAATGGATAAAATTCATCAATCCAATGAATTCTTATATGATGTTTTATTCTTTTTATTGAAAATTGGTCATTAACAATCGCTAGTTAAAACAGGTCTTGAATTCCCTATATTGTTTGAAAATTAATTAAGGTGATAAATGGAACCCCGCCACCTTTTATGTTGACCATCTAGATATTATTTGTAACTAATACATATGATACATCTATGATTGTATGGTGTTTACAACTTGAAATTTGCGAAATTACTGTTCAAATTTTAAATTATGAGCATAATTTTTAAATTTTACAATCAAAACGATGTGTTCTGCTAATGCTCGTAAGCTTCAATCTCAATATATTAATGAGTATTAGGCTAGATGATGATAAATGTTTTAATATGATTGTTTGTTAAATGTCTTTAATTAATTTTTAAATCACTACTATTGAAAACAAAGTACTTCCCATTTCTATCTAGAAAATACTATTAGCATCGTGCCCACATCAAATTTTTTCGCACTATATTTGGCTTATAGTCAAAGTCCAGCTTTTTGATCTAATTAATTTGATAGTGCAATATATATATATATATATATAAGAGGAGAACTGAAGAAGGTAAAAATAAAGTACAAATGCATCATTATATTATCTAGTTCCTTGAAAAAAATTGGAATCAAAAGTTCAAAATATAATTCGTTTAAATGTATTTACTAATTAAAGAAATTAATAATATCTCACATTCCAACTTTAAATGATCAACTTGAATTCACATCTTGGAATGACAAATCATTAATATTATGACATGTCTGAAGCATGAAGACATTCGATTCCGAGACAAAGTTTTCCAAAAGAAAAATGAAACAAATAGTGAACATGGTCCATTAGGAGGTGTATGCTTTTGGATAGTATATAGACATAACAAAATGTAAAATTTCAGAAGAAGATCTATAACTGAAATGTTGAAGATTAAGATATCTCAATAAGTTATATCATTATGAAAAAGAAATAAAATCCAAAATAAAAAGTTGCCGACAATATTTTTGAATAAAACGTACCACTTTATATTTTAAATAGAGAGAATATCGAAATAATCATATCAATTGGAAAAAAATATTCAAATTAAAGGATGCAATCTTAATAAAATTGAATTTATTAGAAAATATGAAATTTTTGAACTTGCAATCCGAAAATATAAAGGTGGATATTTATGTGAAAAAAAATGAGAAAATTGAAGTAATATGTAATCTACGAATCTCAACATATTGAATTTCACAACATTTGTAATGGATGCAATCACAAGTCCATATCTTGTAATCCTGACGATGTATGAATTTTGAAATGTAATTATAGTCAATTCATCAGCATGATTATTATTGTTATCTTTGAAGAATTTAACAGGTTTGAAGCATATAATTCAAGTGATGTTATCACGAGGAAGAGTAAATACGCATACTCTTTTTTCTTTGATCAATGTTTTGTCACATTGAATTTTCCTAGCAAAGTTTTCAATGAGACGATTTTTGTGACGTACTCAAATGAATAACGTACTCTTTTTTCTTCATTACGATTTTATCTAGGAGATTTTTCTAAAAAGGTTTTAATGAAATATATTTTTTGTGTAACGATATCAATAACCTACAAGACATTTACCCTCAAAATAACATTCTTATATGTTACAAATTGTGTTCAATTCCCACAAAGAGTAACGACATAATCTATTTTTCAATAGATCATTATGTGACTAAAGACAAACAAAAATTGATAAATATCATTTATGAATATGATATTGCTTAAAGGTCATATAACAAGACAACACGAAACATGATTCGCCAAAATTGTAATATTGAAAACATTAATATACAGGACATGGATGTCTCGATACAAGAATTCTCATTTATTGAAATTAGGGAAGCAATTGTACTTTTTTGCCTTAACTCAAGTTTTTTTTTTTCCATTGAATTTTTTGATAAGATTTTAATGAGATATATTTTGTAATATGTAATTCAACGAAGAGTTCTAAATTATATGTTTATTAGTGAATAACCATTATACTTCTACAACCCTAGTTATAATAACGATTGTATCCATTGTAGCCTAATTTTTCTTTATAAATATGGAGTTTTGGTTCTTAATGAAATACGCACAGTCTATTGACTTTTCTACTTTCTTTTTTTCTCTCTGTTTTATAACAATTATATAATTATTGAAGTTGTTAAGTATTAAATGATTGTACAATTGTAAAAATAATAATAATAAAAAGCTATATTCTATTCGTTTTTGAGAAAAATGAAAGACCAACCAGATTATTTTGAGAGGAACAAGCAATTATTTTGTTTAATTATATATACTCCAATCAAACGTAAATTCAACCTAGAACAGTGGTCTTCAACTTTATTCAAATATGTGGCTAAAACTTGAATATCACTTGCATGTCAAGATGAGGTTAGAGGGAGAAGCTCTCAACTTTACTTAGAGAAACTCACTAAAATTGTCGTTGCATTTGTGAGTGTAGAGAAATTGACTTCGATTTGGTGGAATCCGAGCTCAGTTTATCTATCTAACTGAAATCAACCACAATCAAATAATTGACTCCAACCCACAACTACTACTATAACTTTTGGTTGCGACTTCTAATATACCCATAAGGAACACAAGTATGGTGATGTTTGCAAAAAAGGCCACAAAGGCAGAGAGAAAGCAAATGCACGAAGAAGGAGATGGAAGCAACCACAGTTTCTCTCCAATATATTCACAAAGTAAACACACGGTTCCAACACATTAAAAATGGTTGGTCTTTCTAATATATTTACAAAGTACACACACGTTTCCAACACATTGAAAATGGGTATATATAGGTTAGTTAGGTTACCTAGACTTGGGCCAATATTATCCAACAAATGGGCCAACACTAAGATAATTGGGCTAGACCATCCAGAGTTATAGTGGCCATGAACAACATTAACTAATTAAGTTGCGTCCAATGGCTCGAGTTGTTTTCGGGTTGATCCTACAAATTGATTGTGTTGATAGTTATTTCACTTATCAGTCGAGGTCTATGAAATATAATCTAAACTATTTAACATCATTACCCGAGATTTATTGGGTATCAAATCCCAACAAATTTTCACATTGATACCCAATCAACCTCGAAGCAACCAAAACACAAAGTTTATTCTTGCATAATCAAGATAACCAATAAAATTGAAATCACAGACCTTACCCCGTGTTTCGGACCCGAAACGCGTACCATACCTGCTCCTTGTACTCACCAGGGCTAAGGTCATAATCAAATATCTAAG